ATTTTTTTTCTGGGTCTCTTACCGCCTCCCTTTAAGTCTGCAGCGCCCACAAGGGGGCGTTGTCGCCCACTTTGGGAAAGACTGCTTTAGAATAACGGAAGTAAAAACGCCCTCTCGTTATTTCCAGGTGGTGCTAGAAGTGGCCCACCGTGTGGACCAAGAGGGAGTGGTTGCCGTGGACTCCGTGGTCGAGAAGCTGATCTTCAAGCCGCAGGATGTGGTCTCCATTCGCGCCAAGGATTCGGACCTGGAGTACGCGACCCACGACGTGTTTCAGACGGACAGCGCTATTTCTAGTAAGTGTAATGTGCGCTTTTTTTGTTTGTTTACTGTTCTGATGTTGGTTTGATGTGTGATTATTACTGATTTTATGGAAGCTAAAATTGGTAGGCTTATGAATTGATTTCCTGGTCAAGAAATACTGAGATAGATGCTGATAGTAAATCTCTTGCATATGATAATCTGTGTTAAATCGTCACTGGTATAATGAAGACAGTTTTGACAATGATATTGCTGCATCTATTTATACATATACTTTGCTTCATATCTAACTAAAGATAGGTCGTGGTCGAAAATATCATACCATTCTTCATTATTTATTTATTTAGGAAAACCAGGGTTTATCAGTGTATAATAATGACAAGTTAAGCAACAAATAAACCACTTATAGGTTCCCACAGGTAAAATGAAGCCTTTCGTCTAATATGATGATATGAACTTGAACTGCTTTGTTGTAGATGCTCACTTGAAAGGGGGGTAATGTTAAATAAATAACACGCAGGATCCCATCGTTGTTGAAATCCTTGGGGGAAGCCTTTGTCCAGCAGTGGACTTCATTTGGCTGAAATGTTATACACCGTGTTACTTTGCATTCTTGCCATATTCACAGAGATAAAAGTAGGGAACAATACCTATTATTTAAGATAAACAAGAGACTCCCTAAAGAAAGTAGGTACACTAGGATTTTAGTAAATTTGGTTTTTCAGTACAAATTGGAATAAACCCATTTTGTCTCGCACGTTCTCCAGGTGCAAGT